GTAAAACAACATTATTACATCACACTTGGATTATTAAATAGCAGGGCTTAAAAGGGAAATCATGAAGAAACCTAAGAAATAGAACGTAAATAAAACTATATGAACATATACACTGGAAAGGAGAAAGCAGTCCTTGGTAGGAAACTTACAGCTATTTAAAATAAATAAATCAGAAAACAGTCAAACTCATCATCAAATAGGCAGTGAGTTTACCACTTTTTTCATTTTGGCCCTCCTACCTTGATTCTAGATGCAGGTGCAGCCATAGATGTGCCCCAGATCTCTGGCTGAAGGGTAGGAAAAGAGAAAGTACCAGAGAGAATTAGGAGCCCAGAAAGCAATCCCATAAAATTGTTTACGAATCTTAGGCTCACTTTGGAGCTGCACATGCACAGAGAAAATCCTAATCAGCATATAAAAGACTTTTGAGAACTGAACTAACAGGTCATTGCTCAGGTCCTAGAGTGGCTGATGCATGGAAGACACTCAAGACAGAACCCAACAGGACTCCAAATATACCATACTGCTGCCCATAGAAAATGTGTTAAAATTTGTAATCAAGCACCTAACCCGATGATTGTCTGCTAAAATTAAAATATCAACATTTTCCATAGGATTCAAGAAGGCCCAGTGTCATATAACAATATTTAAAATGTCCAAGACACACAAAAAATTACTTGGTATATTAACACCCAGGAAATCTCAACTCATTTCTGTAAAGACGTGAGTCTTTGTCAACAGAAGGCAACACTGAGCTGACAAAGATGTTGGTATTAGGTGACAAAGACTTAAAAGCAGCTTTTATTAAAATTCTCCAAAAAGTAATTATAAATAGACTTGAATAAAAAATAGAAAGTTTCAGCAAAGGAAAGATATAAAGAAAAATAAAAATGGAAATTTTAGAATTGAAAATTATAAGACTCACTGGATATGCTAAATAGCAAAATGCAGATGACAAAAAAGTCAGTTAACTTGGAGATAAATCAATAGAAATTATTCAATCTGAATAGCAGAGTGAAAAAAGATTTTAAATAATGAAAAGTCTCACAATATTACATGAGAATTTTTAAAAATCCCAATGTTCACGTAATTGGAATCTCAGAAGAAGAGAAAGAATGTGATGCTGAAAAAAAATGTGAAGACTATTGGTGACAACTACCCAAGTTTGGAGAAAGATATAAACATACAGATTTAAGAAGCTCAATAAATCCCAAATAGGTAACTCAATCAAATCTACACTCAGAAACATCATAATCAAAAGGCTAAAATTTAAAGAAAAATCTTGAAAGCAGCCAGAGAAAAATAACTACCTGTAGAGAAAAACTTCCTGTACTGAAATATTACATTTACAGAAAAGTTGCCAAAATAGTACAGAGTGTTCCATAAACCCTTCACCCAGCATCCTATAATGTTCTGATTATCCTCTAATGATCAGATTCCAGAGAAAGGAGGAGCAATGGGTTACCTTGGCATGGGGATTCCGGACCTGAAGTCCTGGGTAGACCAGATGACCCAGCAGGTTCAAGCCTACAGAAGGATCTTCCCATTCTGCCCAATCTGTCCATGTTCAGCAGTTTCTCCACAAGCATAAGCTAAAGCTTGTCCTATTGCTCCTTGCCCTGGCTGATCAGGATTTTCTTTTGATTGAACCCTCCCACTGGAAAGGAATGCTACTAGCCCAGGCTCTTCCCTCAGAGGTCAGGGGACAGCTCCTGAGATAGGATACTCTCTCTTTCCCTCCTTCTGGAGAATGAAAACAAACCTCCCCAAAAATTCACTCCACTGGGGGACTTCCCTGGTCCAGCACATTCAAAATTAGCAGCAAGAAATGTCTTCAGCAAGTGCTGAATTCAATCTTCTGTTCACAAAACCAGAAAAAGGAAGGGACTGGTGTTCTATGTAGACTTCTTCTGAAGATACAGAATTATAACAAGGTGCTTTTCTCCTTTTCTACTAATGTAATTTTGTTTTTTCTGTCTCCTAGTTGCTTGCTATTAATCAAAAGATTAAACAATGGCTCAAATGGAAGTTTGATATAATGATAATTCTTAGAATAGTGCTTTATAAACCATAGATTATGAATCTTAAATATTAATTGCTTTCATTTTATTCTATTTGTAGGTAGTATAATTATGGTATTTTTATTCTTTCCAAGACCAATAAATAATCCAGAAACATAGCAATAATATTTTTTAATCTTCCTTATAAAATAAGTTTGAGCTTTTCCTCTTTCTCTTCATTGGATTATGATTCTTAAGATAATGTTTTTTCTGTTTGTTTTTGTTTGTTTTATTTATTTTTTTTAATTTTGTTATCATTAATCTACAATTACATAAAGAACATTATGTTTACTAGACTCTCGCCTACCCCAAGTTTCCCCCACAAGCCCCATTACAGTCACTGTCTATCAGGATAGTAAGATGTTGTAGAATCACTACTTGTTTTCTCTGTGTTGTACAGCCCTCCCGGTACCCCCCAGCCACAACACTATACATGCTAATCGTAATGCCCCCTTTCTTCTTCCCCACCCTTATCCCTCCCTACCCTCCCATTCTCCTCAGTCTCTTTCCCTTTGG